AAAAGCGCCATACTTTTGTTTTAACTGATCCCGTAATTACGCGGGCTGTTTGGTACGCCCAATATAACACATTCGTTAGGCCATTATGGGGAGAAAATGGACTATGGGCAAGCAAAAGGCGAAGGCGGCTCCTGCAAACTGGAGGGAGGGGATTGTCAAAGTCAAACCTCCTTTCAAGCCAGCGTGCTGCAAGGGGATTAGCTGACCGATGATGGAGTTTTTTACCCGCGCTTTTAAGGCAAATATGCCTACAAGGAAAGAATTGTGAAATCTTATCCTCTCCTCATCGGTGCAGACGACATGATTGACTGCCAATGGGCTCATTCTCTGACTTCTCTAGTTTAAAAATACTTTAAAATAGAAAAAAAAAGATTGGACAGAGTTCACTCATTGGTGGAGGTTTTTTTTCCATTTTACAGTGAGGGAAGAAGTGAGAGTGGCATTTAAAAAGTTCCGTCGTCCACTTTGACCTTTGTTAAAATTAATGCGCGTTTATGATGAGTCACAGAGTGGATCGTCATGTATTGCGTTCATGAATATCGTAAACTTTAAAATTCCCTTTTGTTTTAATTAGTCTGTTAGGCGTTAAAGGCGAGAGAGAGAAATGCTGGAAGGAATTGGGGGCGGCGGTGCGCTTCCAAGGGCCCACAATTCTTCAAAAGGGAGAAAAATGGGAGGGTTGGGGGGAGGGGGGGAAGAGGGCGGCTAGTTTCATGACAATGCATGATTTGCGTGTCCAAAACACCCGGCAACATCATGCGCCTTTAGACGTCTTCCGCGAATTGGGAAATTAACTGCGTCAAGGTCACGCACAGCTTCTACCTAACATGTGGCGCCCTCTGGTAGTGCCAACTGTCGAGATCTGCCTCCTCAGCGCTACTGTCTAGGGAAAGTGCAATCAGAAGGCATTACAGAATCCCCCAAGTCGATCAAAATTCTTGTCATGGCGAGACTGGAAACGGTCTCACGATGCTATCACAAAGCTTATCTTTTAGCTGATCTGAGCTGCCTCCTCATCAACCACTCCCACATTTCCTCTCTCTTTTTCTCCGATCCCTACGGACCTTTTGACAATGGATTGTGAGCAAGGAAAAAAAAGACAGTTGGTAAATAAATGAGGGGGGTGGCGGTAGCAATGACTAAGTCTCCGGCTCTGATCCTGAGAGACAAAGCGTTGTAGGAAGACAAATTTATTTTTTTTCGTTTTCACTAAAAACTGTGATGCAATCAACCACTAACTTTCTTCCCATTTATCAAGCATAAACTGCGTTTTTTCGTGTACCCACACAACGTTCCATATTTTTCACTTTTGTCGTGAACGATTTAAGTGATTACTTAAATAAATTCGACATTTCTTCGTTCTGCCCCATGTTATTTAGATGTAAATGAAAAAGTGTTTTTTTTGAGAGGAGGTGGAAACTGTCACTGTAAAAAGGTCTTAGCAATAAGACTGCACATACTACTTAAATTCAGCTACTTAAATACGCATTTAAGTAGACAGCACAGAAAGTAAAAATTAAACTCACTGAACTTTTGTTTGAGCCTTTGAGTATGACATGCTCGTTAACTGAAGAATAGAAAAAAAATGCTTGTGATTTGGTGTTTCATTCTTGAGAGCCTGTATTTCCGGTTTACGGTATGACAATTTGAGGGCTTTTGGGTGTCAAACCAGGATGGTGCACAAAGACAATAGCCGTGACAAACTCAACCATTTGTCCCACTTTGGAAAGGGATCGTTAGTGCGGAGTCGCTTCCTGTTCTGCTAATGACTCTGTGGGCATGACGGTGTTTTACAGGTGCCCCAAAGGGGCCTCTCACGCCAACTGTCACAACCCGACTGGGTGAGGTGCAAGAATGAATGCCAATGCATTTTCTGTTCTCACTTAGTAGTGATAAGTGTGCAAAAAAACCTTTGACAAGTCAGACAGTGTGCGATGAAGGGGCTCCTGGACCAAAATTTTCTTTTTTCTTTTTTTGGTGGAAGGAAGGTGGGTCACAATTTTAATGCTCCTTTGACTTATCGAAACACCCGGAAAAGCCTTCCAAAATTAGATAGCTAAAACATGCACAAAAGTGGGTTGGTGTTTTGCAAAAAAAAAAAAAAGAGAGAGAGCGAGAGAGCCTTATTCGTAGGGATGAATCACCGACAAATGTGTGGTGATATTTTGCTCAGGCAAACTTGATGACAAAATTTTTAGGAGGTCTCAACCGCCTTTCTTACTGCCACTTGGCACTCTTGCCAACAAAGTCACACGTGTGTGCACGACGCCCATTCGACCGAAATGTGTGTGATACGCATCGTCTGACAACTTTTGTGGGTCGTGAGAAGTGACTAACATCACTGTAAGACTGAAGAGCGAGAGATGAAGTAAATGGATTGTGATAGTCGATGCTCTTCTCCGTCCACCCGGTGTGGTAGCAAAAGGATTAATTGGTCTTGTCTGATCGTATCAAGGAATTGCCTTCTGATAAGTCGTCCTACTGTTCCACTTAGAGCTTAGTCACCATTTACGCAAATTGCATCGTAAAAGAAAGGCCTTTTTGAAGTGATTTTGTGAGTAAAATATGCATCCAAGGCCTTGGTAAATGTGATCCTCCTGGACCACGGAGTCGCTTCCCTCAAAGGGCTCACGGAAGTCGACTGGAAGGAAAATGAGTGTAGATGAGGAAATTTATAAAATGATCAGTTGGATGCGAAAGAACTCCTCCGCACGGTTTCTGGCCGGGGATGCGATCTGACGCCTCGATCCGCCTTGAAGAATGTCTTTGGTATTAGGGCTTTGAGCTGAACCAAGTGGATGGCATTCTTTTTGCCTTTTCTAAGCACCTCTTAAGTCAGTCTCGACGTGAGGTGCTCCTCCACGGTAGTCAACTCGCCTTACAGCATTTTCTCTCTGGCTTAAGTGACAACGGTGGGGGAAATGGCCTCACTAGGCGGCAATCATTCCCCCACCTGAGCAGAAATGAAGGACAAGAGGGCACAAAAAGTCACTGAAAGGCGAAAATTGGGGAGTTGAGAGGTGTGAACACTCACCCACAGCATGAGTTAGATTTATCAACATTTTTCCATCTCTGAGGTCATTCTGTAGGTCGGTGATGAAACACTCGTAGCCGGCCTTTTGGAGGTAGTGATTCGCCCACTCTGTGTACAACTAAAAGAAAGAAGCACTAAAGAATGGGGGAAGGGAAGATGGGGAAAAAAAAAACAAAAAAAATTTCCTCATTTTATGAGGTGTATTTTCGTCTTGCACTTTTGTTAAAGCATCACATTGTTTAGAACTGCTGATAGACACTTTTAATTGCAGTTTAAAGTGACGAGTTGAGGTCGGTCTGTCACTGCTTCAACGCATGTGGCAGGAAAATGATAGCATTGGCGATCCGTCACACGAAAAGCGAGAAAAGACGGATGAGGAGAGGGTGATGAAGTGGATGGAGGGGGACGAAGAAGAAATAAGAGGAGAGGGAAGTGGATACGGTGATTTTAGAGAACAACGAGAAAGATGTCATGATAATGATGATGATGGCCACCGTGATTGTGGTGGTGGTGATACGAATGGAGGAGGTTTCTATGTGGACGAATTTGCTAAAGAAGGAAAAAGGAGGAAGACAAAGATGTTTAAGAGGAGGAGGAAGCTGAGGATGAAGAGGAGGAGGAGGAGGAATAGGAAGAGGAGGAGGAGGAGTCGAAGGAGGATGAAGAGAAGGAGGAGGAGGAGGAGTCAAAGGAGGATGAAGAGAAGGAGGAGGA